CCCAGACGGAGTCCCGTGCGAACGCGGCTGTCGGGGCCCCGAGGAGACCCGAGCTGCCCGGCCGGCCCGACGGAAAGGAGGCGGTGCCGGCTGCAGCTGGTCCTGGAGGTCAGCGCTGGGCGGAAGTCGCCTCCGAGCCCCGCGACCGCGGGAACCTGACGCTTCTGGCAGAACGAGAAGCGGTTCCGGACTCGGAATCGTAGGGCGCACCCTGGTCGCCTGCGCGGCCGCTCTTTCGGCCTCAGTTTCCCGTGGCCTAAGGAGCCTGGGGCGCCGGAACTCAGCCGTACGCAATTTAGAACCAACGTCAGGTTTTTCCAGTTTGGGTGGATGCCCACCTGCCCTTCCCGGTGCGCGGCCACCGCCATCCTCACCGCGACTTGAGGGATTGCTCCATCCCTGTTTCTTTGACTTGTCCTAGCAGGTTCTCAAGTAGCCCAGGATGGCCCCAGGCTCGCCGAGTAGCCGAGGATAGCCTTGAATTTCTGACCCTCCTACCTGTACCTCCCTAGTCCAGTTTTATGTGGTGCTGAGATTCGAACCCAGGACTTCGCACCATGCTACGCTAGCACTCTGCGAGTGGAACTCCACACGCAGCCCGCTCGTCATGTTTCGTACAACCTTCCAGTCCTTTCCAGCCAAGCTCCTGTTGGGATACTGCTGTGTGCTGTGTTCTCTCAATCTCCTGTTCTTTCCTCCATAAAAAAAAAAAAAAGTATAGATTCTTATTGAATTTAGGGTTCAAATTAGTTTTTCTGTCTGAACCACTCCACATAGTAACACATTCAAGTTTCATGAACAGCGTGAGATACTTAATAGTTGGATGGATACATGCTTCCCCACAAATTTCTATGTGTATTTAAGTACATATGTATTGTCTTACAAACGCACAATATACTTCTAAGCAATCGTATAACTACCTCACAGTGTGGTACTCCATCAGATGCTTGTACTATCCCTTTAATCACTCTGCTGCTTGTAGATTCATGCAGTTCATAATTTCTTTTTTTTAATATTTATTTATTTATTATGTATACAATATTCTGTCTGTGTGTATGTCTGCAGGCCAGAAGAGGGCACCAGACCTCGTTACAGATGGTTGTGAGCCACCATGTGGTTGCCGGGAATTGAACTCAGGACCTTTGGAAGAGCCAGCAATGCTCTTAACCACTGAGCCATCTCTCCAGCCCCCATAATTTCTTTTTTATTATTTTTTTACACCCCAGCTCTCAGGAGATAATTTCTTGCTATTCACGGTATTACAGGCAGCACGTGGAGTGAGTGTCTGGTGCAAACCTTGAACTGTTTTCAGGAGCGAGTGTGGTAATGTGTGATGAGCATGAGCCTGGAATCAGGTGCTGGCTGAAGAGATGCTGTGGCCTGTGTTACTGATGGACGGCTTCCTGTCTGTGGGCGAGTTGACGCCGCCATCCCTGTGACCAGCAGTTAGAAACAGAAGGAAGGACTGGAGAGATGGGTCAGCAGTTAGGAGCACCAGCTGTTCTTCCAGAGGACCCTGGTTAAATCCTCAGCACCCACATACATGGTGGATCACACTGTCTGTAACTCCAGTCTGAGCATCTGTCATCGTCCGGCCTTGGCAGGCACTGCAAACAAATGGTGGATAGACATACATTCAGACTAACATTCACACACATAAATAAAAAAACCTCAAAAAAATTTAAATAAAACAGAGGTAGTGCACGCCTTTAATCCGAGCACTGGGGAAGCAGAGGCAGGTGGATCTCTCTGAGTTCAAGGCAGACCTGGTCTACAGAGCAAGTTCCAGAGCAGCCAGGGCTACACAGAGAAACCCTGTCTTGAAAACCAAAAATAAATCAGTCTTAGGGTAGACCTTAGATAAGCATCCCGGTCTCCCTGGCCTGTGAAGCAGTGCATCACATCTGCATACCTGCTCCCCCGTCAGGAAGGTTGCTGGTTTATGCCGTCTTTGAAGTTCACCCCTGGAAAGCCCTGTCCCAGAGCCTGTGTCCCCACAGAATGTTGTAGATGCTACTGTGGGGTCAGCGCCTGTGACCGGTGTTCATCTTTGAGCCGTTTCCTATTGTAGACTTTCAGAATTTCCAAGGCAGCAACCCGATGACGGGCAAGTGAAGCAGAACCGACCACAAGGAGATGAGAGTCCCAGGTGCGCCAGGTGTCATCTAGACCCCAACAGGTGTTAATTCCTTCATTTATTCGGTAACTCCTAAATGGCTTCTTACTATTTACTATACCCCACATTGTAGAGGATATTAAACTTTTCCCCTCCAAGAATTTGCAGACCCAGATCCACTCATGAGGACTTAAAAATGAATGATAGAAGACAGTAGATAGAATAGCTGTCAAATCTCCACCTAGACTTTATTTTTTTAATTTATTTATTCATTTATTATGTGTACAATATTCTGTCTGTGTGTATGCCTGCAGGCCAGACAAAGTCACCAGACACTATGTGGTTGCTGGGAATTGAACTCAGGACCTTTGGAAGAGCAGGCAATGCTCTTAACCTCTGAGCCATCTCTCCACCCCTCACTGAGACTTTAGAAGAGACAAACTGCCACTGTTAGCAAGAGTGATGGGAAAGATCCCAGCAATAAGAGGCCATGGTGACACCAGAGCAGAGATGGGCCCTGAATGTCAGCTGCATTTAGTTAGACACGCTGTCTCAGCCTGTGAGAATCCTCAGTTTTGGCCTGATTATGCTTCTGGTACCCCAAAATGAGTCTCCCAGCACATTCTCTGAAAACACTGTCTCACATTCACTCAGCTGCATCAGTGAAGACCCTCCACCCATAAACACATGTGCTGTGTTGTATATAAACCTCCGACCTGATCAGGACCACGTACAGCTGGAAATCTCATCCCCCTGTCCTGAGCTGTGGCTAGGGGAGCCCTACAGCTTCTCCTCTTCCTACCTGAAAAGCTGCAAGAGTCAGCATGAGTTTCCCAGCAGAAAAGCAGCATCAGCTACACACAGACTTAGCCAGATAGAGCTGCAGGACTTGAAGTGTGTGGTGAGCAGGAGGGGGCAGATACCAAATAATAAAGCCAACAGTGACAGCCAGACAAAGCTGCTTTTAAAACATCACTTCACCTGGCAACTAGATTCATGCAACAAATTCAATCATTTGATTCATTCATTAATTCAGTAAATATGGGTGTGCTTACTAGATTTACCCAGAAGCAAAACATCACCCACATCTTCACGGTGGGAGAAGCAAGTCGGTAATTCAACAATTAGTGGGAGCTGGAGAGAGGGCCCAGTAGTTTATAGGCACTTGCTCGCTCTTGCAGAGGGCCAGTTTTGGTCCCCAGCACCCACATAGCAAACAATGTCTATAACTCCAGTCCAGGAGAACTGTTGCCCTCTTAACTTCTAAAGGCACCAGTCTCTCAGACATGCATGCAAACCACCCATGCATATTTTTTAAAAAATTAATGTTTTAAAAGAACAATTTTTAAAATCACAAACAATATTTGGGAGCCTACTTTATGCCTGGCATTGGTCTAACAGCCAGAGACTTAGCAGTAACCAATATTTAGAAACCTACTTTCCCACTGTTTGGGAGAATGGGACATGGGTCAGAAGAGAAGTATAGCAGATAGCGGCTCGGAGTCAAGAAGTTCATGGTGGCAGGCCTCTGTCCTTAGCAGTGAACCAAAAGCAGGTGGTAAGCAGGGAGGCTGAGGGCGACACTGTGCGTTCCAGGGCTAGGAGCTGCTGAGGGGTTCAGGAGGACTAGGAAGAAGAGAGAGGGCCTCTGAGGCCTTGAAGAAGGGTGGCACCTAGCAGTCAGCAGTGTGGGCTTGGGTCAGCGTAGGAGAGGCCTGGCCAGAGCTGCAGTGGATGGGTAAATTCGAGGGCCATCGGCTGTGGTCATGCAGGAATGTGAACGTGGACATGAACACCAGGCCAGGCTTTATGTGGCACTGCAGATAGGTCTAAGGGCTTTGTGCACGCCAGGCAAGCGCTCTACCCACTGAGCTACATCACCAAGCTGTGCTTTCTTTTTTTTTTTTTCATTTTTGAGACAGTTTTTCTTTGAAGCCTTGGCTGTCCTAGAACTCATTTTGTAGACCAGGCTGGCCTTGAACTCAGAGATTGGCTGCCTCTGTCTCCCAAGTGCTGGGATTAAAGGCATACTCCACCACCGCCTGGCTGTTTTCTTTCTTTTTTAAAAATATTTATTATGGGGCTGGAGAGATGGCTCAGTGGTTAAGAGCATTGCCTGCCCTTCCAAAGGTCCTGAGTTCAATTTCCAGCAACCACATGGTGGCTCACAACCATCTGTACTAAGGTCTGGTGCCCTCTTCTGGCCTGCAGGCATACATGCAGACAGAATATTGTATAAATAAATAAATATTAAAAAAAATATTTATTATGTATACAGTGTTCTGCCTCCATGTATGCCTGCACGCCAGAAGAGGGCACCAGATCTCATTATACATGTTTGTGAGCCACCGTGTGGCTGCTGGGACCTCTGGAAGAGTAGTCAGTGCTCCCAACCTCTCCAGCCCCTGGCTAACTATTTTCTAATGACTACTTTTGTTGAGATTTCCAGAATGCAAGCGTCCTTGGGTAAGGTACACATAAACAAGCATTCTATGGAGTCTTTGATCATTTCAAAGTGTAAACAGTCCTGAGGTCAAGCTGTTGGGGAAAGGACATGTGACATGCCCCAGCCCCAGCTCCCCACCTCCCCTTGGGGTGGGGAGCTTAAGTCATAGGAAGGATCACGCAGGGCTCTCTTGGGAGAGGGCGCTGTTCCGAGATGTCCACATATCAGATCTTTTTTACTACCTTAGGAGAAAGCCGCTCTAGATGGGTCTGGGGACTCGGGCTGGCACGCTCAGGTCTCACCCAGAAATCCTACTGACAACATGCCTTGAAGCAGCTCTTCCTGGGCTATAACATGGTCGTCCCCCTTACTCCCTGAAAGTAGGGGAGTCCCCCTAACAGAACTCAGGAGCGCAGCTCAGAACCACCCAGGGAAACAACAGTTCTGCCTCTTGTGCAAAGCGGAACCCAGCTGTTCCAGAGCCACATGCAAACCTGGGCACTTCTTTTTAAAGTTAAAATCACTTTCCAGATTATTTTCACTGCATAGCACTGGGGCTGGGTGGCTAGAGAATCAAGAAATACAGGTGTCTTCCCCTCAGTCTGCTAGCTGGCTGCATCACGTTGGAGACTTCCTTCCCATGAGTACCTCAGTTCACCTCTAAATAAGGAGCACTGCTATGTGGGAGGGTGGGGGAGACTGGTGGCCAACCCCTTCCTGGCCTGTACCGGCAAAGGCGATCATCACCATTACAATCACGTCTTCCAAATAAATCTTGTGCCACTACCACCCGGCTCCAAATAAAT